ATATATTTTCATATTACAAATAACATTTTTATATGCTTTTCATTTTATATTTGTTGAATAATTGTTCTTGTTGGAAGAGTTTTAATTCCTGAACATATTTCAACATATCTAGTATCAGTCAGTCAATAAGAATATATCAAGTGCCTACTCTGTGCCCAGGCATTGTGCTAGATTTTGGGAAAACAAAAGCAAAACAGTCCCGGCCCTCAAGGAGCTTACATTCTAATGGGGAAGATCACATTTATTGAGCGCTTGCATTGTGTATACAAAGATGAAAGCAGTCACATCTCCGGCCTTCAGAGTTTATATTCCAGTAAAGATGGTTAATATACATACAGTTACAACTAGTCATAATATGATAAGGGTATGCTTAGCAGAATTCTTCTAAATAAGTTTAGATTGCATTTCCCAGCCCAGCATAAATTTTCTATATAAAACTCACATCTGCCTTAGAAGGAGTCTGACAAATTATAAACTTGAATAGTACAGCCAAGTAGATGAGCAGTAGCAATCAGAAGTCTGCAGGACTACTTTTTAGAATCACTGGCTTATGAAAGAAGAATTTTCTCAAAGAAAAAAAGTTCTTTAAGGATTATGTCCTTGATTTATTGATATCTCAAGCTATTATAAGCAGCTTGGTAGTGCAGTGGATAGAGTTCCTGGTCTGGAAACAGACTGTGAATTCAGATGCTTGCTAGCTATGTCTGGCCTTAGACACTTAGCAGCTGTGTGACCCTGAGCAAGTCACCCAACTCTATTTTCCTCAGTTTTCTCATCTGTAAAATGAACTGAAGAAGGAAATGGCAAACCATTCCACTATCTTTGCCAAGTAAACTCCAAATAGGGTCATGAAGAATTAGATACCACTGAAATGACTCAGCAACAAGCTATTATACCCTCTTAAATATGGGTGCTATTATAATAGGTTTTATGTTTAGGTTTGGTGCTTTTATGAAGGAATAAAAGTTTAGTTTTAGTTGTGACTTTTAAGTAAGAGGAGAGATTATATATTGACTTTCAAAATATATTTGTGGCACAATGGATAGAGCACCGGCCCTGGATTCAGGAGGACCTGAGTTCAAATGCGACCTCAAACACATAACACTTACTAGCTGTGTGACCCTGGGCAAGTCACTTAACACCATTGCCTAACAAAACAAAACAAAAACAAAAAAAAAAATAGAAATATATTTGATCAAATAACATTTGATTATTCATGGCAAGTTTTTTCAGCTCTGGTTATACTTCTTAGTTAAAATGAAAATGAAAGGATTTACCAAGAAATCTTTAATTTTATTTAAGAATGTTGCAGTTCATAAATGTTTTCTTTTTGTTCCATGTCTTTGGTTCAGTCTGACTAATGGACTTACTTGATTACCGTCGTTGACTCTACTTTTGCCTCTATAAAATTTGAACCATTATGTGTTGAATGAATACAACTAGAAACACTGATGTAGTAATATTCTTGAAAGTTATCACTGTAGGCCAATGAACACTATTGTATAAAGATGAGTCAATGTGAATTTGGATATATTTTGTCATTTGTTGCAGTGCAGTGCTAAAATAGACAAGTCAGGTGAAATCGTGAACTACTGTGTGAACCCAGGCAAAGATGTTATGGCACATAAAGATTATTATGCATACAAGACATGTTGTGATTATCACAATGGAACAGTCAATGTTGTCAGTCTTAATTCAAACTTTAAATATTGAGGTGGATTACAAAGGTTTTGTCTCATTTTTTAAATGAAATAAGAATTGAGACCCTTTTAACTTTAAATGGCTATTTCTAGACTCCATTGTATTTGATTTGTCTAGAATTATACATATCTGGAAATTAGTTTTAGGAATGAATTTCTAACCTGTCATTATTTTAAGGCATTGTGAAAAGTCAGAGGAGATGAGAAAGAAAGCAAACATTCGAAAATTTTTGTGAGGATGAAGGAGTAGCAAGACTTTGGAGGGAATCAAATCATACATGGCGAAGGAGAAAAGAGAAAGCATTATTATTATACATATGCACATGGTATATTGTAGATGGGGTTATATGACATTGCTTAGGGAAGAGACCCTAGAAGAAATAATTTGTGTGTGAATGGAAATCTAAAATCTGCTGTGTGACCATTAGCAAATAATATAAATTATTCTTGTAGGTTTTGTTTGTAGAAAACTGATAATTGCTGAATGTGCCAGAACTGAAAGAGACTAGTAGGTTTAAATACTCTTTTCTTTTCCCAGTATTATGCTGGAGTGGTTAAGTGGGTAAGGTTCCTTTTTTAGGAATATTTTAATTTAATATAATTATTTTATTTGTGACATCTTTGACTGAAAAGATGCCTCTCTCCCTTCTCTTTTATCTGTGGGAGAAAGAAAAAATAAAAAGCAGAAAACATTAATTAAAAAAAAACCTTTAGATTCTTTGGGGATAGTGCTCTTAAAACCATTTATTCTATTTCATCTAATATTATCTATTGTTTTGAAAACCACAAATTTTCTGTCTAAAATAGGATATTTAATATAAATTGTAAAAATATATAAATAGGATATAAAATGAATATATTTAATAAACTAAATAGGATATAAAACAGGATATTTAACAAAAATTGTAAAACTGCTTGACTGACCACTCTTTATGTTTATTTGCAAACTATGTAATGTGCAGAAAAACTCTACTTTTTTTTCTTTAATTATACTGAATCTCTTGTCATATTTAGCTGAGTATATCTTCCTTGGCTTAGAAAACTGAAAACTGTTCCTAGGTAGTTCTAATTATCAGTACAGTATTCATACATGAAAGACAAGCAGTGTGACCTGTTGATTGAGGTCTGGCCTTAGGGTCAGGAAGACTTCGGTTCAAATTCTAGTTCTGGTACATGTTGGCTATGTGACTGTGAGTAAGTTATTTAACCTATCTCTGTCCCAGACAGCTCTCTTAAGACAACCAAGTTGCTAATCTGCAATGGTAGAAAGAATTTCCATACTGGGAGTGTCTTACACTGATGACATCCCTCCTCTCATCTCAATTGTTCTATTACTTTTGAAAGTGCAACTGTCCTAGTCACACAGGCTGGTGTCTTCTGTCATCCTTCACGCCATACTTTCATACACCCTACATATCAAACTGTTTTCAGATCTTGCCTTTTTAACCTTCATAACATGTCTCATATACATCCCCTTCCCTCCATTCACATAGCCATCACCCATGTACAGACCTTCGTCACCTGAACTTTTACACTAGCCTTCTAATTGGTCTCTCAGCTTCAACTCCCTCCCCACTCCATTCCATCCTCCACTTGGTTACCAAAGTGATCTTCCTAAAGTACAGGTGTAACCTTGTCACTATTCTATTCAATAAGCTACAGTGACTCCCTATTATCTCAAGGATCCAGTATGAAATCGTTGGCATTTACAACCTTGTCCTTTTCTACCTTTCCAGGCTTCTTGTACTTTAATCCTTTCAATGCATTTTACAGTCCAACTACATTGACTATTTTCTATTCCTCACACTGTAAGTTTCTCTGATGAAGGTCTTATTTCTAAGATATATAGAGAACTGAGTCAAATCTACAAAAATAAGAGCCATTCCCCCAAAATGATAAACAGTCAAAGGATATGAACAGGCAGTTTTCAGAAGAAGAAATCAAAACTGTCAATAACCATTTGAAAAACTCCAAATCACAAATAATTTGAGAAATGCAAATTAAAACGACTCTGAGGTACTATCTCACACTCATCAAATTGACTAATATGACAGAAAAGGAAAATGACAAATGCTGGAGCGGATTGTGAGAAAATAGGTACACATTTGCATTGGCTGTTACTCATGCCTGGAATATTCTCCTTCCTCACCTCTCACTTCTAGCTGTCTCTACCTTCCTTCAAGACTCACTTTAACACCTTCCACAGGAGGCCTTGGTCTCTCTTACTGCTGGTACCTTCCCTCTAAAATTACCTTTTATTTACACTGTATATATCTTGCATATACATTATTATGTGCTTGCTGTCTCTTCCACTAGAATGTGAGCTCCTTGAGAGCAGGGATTATATTTTTGCCTTTCTTTTTATTTCCAGTGCTTAGTAGTGCCTAGCACATGGTAGATATTTAATAAACGCTTGTTGACCGGATGAATGAAATCACAGATTTATAGTACCTTCCCCATTCCCCACCTCCAATCCCTGAAAAAAAATCATATGTAAAAATTTACATGTATTTCAGTACTTCAGTGAGTCAGTGGACATTGCTGAGGTTTGAAAAGCCTGAGAATCATAGTAGAGCTAGAAGGGGACTTTTAAAATAATTTAGTCCACTCCCTTGTCTTTTGCAAAAGAGGAAACTGAGGCTTAGAAAGACATTATTACTTGTCCCATTGCACATGGATAATAAGTAGCAAAGTCAAAATTTGAACCCAGTTCTTCAATTCCAAATCTAATGGTATTTCTAGTGTACCATACCACTTCTCATGGCTATCGTTATCCCCTTAAATCTTCTTTTCTTCAGCTTAGCATCTCTAATTTCATCTGGTTCATATATGATAGAATTTTGAGTCTCACATACGTTATTACATCCAGGAAGACAAAACAGTTGAGTGAATGGACTCGAAAGCAGTAGCTGCTGCCAGAAGCCCTTTCAAACACATTAGCCTCTTTCTCAGTCTGTAGGCACCAAGTAGAGGTTATCCTAGATTGCTAAAATGGTCCATAAAGTATAGTGTGGATAGGAAGGGCAACAAAAAAGCCAGGTGAGACCTCATGGCAGAGCAGCTACTAGAAAGTCTAGTTATTTGAGTGGTTTTCCTCTCTCAGCACTGGTACCAAACAAAAATGCTTTTACTTAATTAGTACTTACTAAAATTAAGCCTGAACTGTGAACTATAAGCTAGAAAGGACAACTAGTAAATGCTGGCATAGTTAACTAGGATTGTATTTTATTACCACAATGATTAGTGCGGAAGCTTGGTTATTTCTGATTCTCTTGGTCTATATTTTATTATTTTTTCTAGTGTGTACATGGGAACTTAGAAGACCCCAAAAGTGTAACACATCATAAATTAATACATGCTGCTTCAGAGAGGGTCCTGACAGACACCAAAACTATCTTAGAAGAAAACATTCAAGATAAAGGTAAGATAGCTTCATGATTAAGCTGCCTTATAGCAGTACCACTATGTAAACACAGAAATTTGATATTTTATTAGTTTGCTTTGTGTTAATTCTCAATACTGAGATTCAGAATGAAAAAGCAAGAAACCAAACTGCTGATCTTAATTTAAAAGTATTTTTTGTTTGCTTTCTGAAGTATTTGTGTAAAGTGATAGAAATATAAACTGAACAATAGACAATAGAACAACTTAAGTTTTATGAGAAATTTAATTTTTTTCAGAGCAAAATATAATCCACAGAAAGAGCTTCTGCAGGTTTGGTCAACTTGATAATTACAACTGGAAGAAGAGTCATTTTTATTATATAAACCACCTTTTAATTTATATATGGCAGTAATTTAATCATAAGTTATGTGATACTGGAGCTCTAAAGTTCCATATAGCACCAACATTATGTGGTTCACATGTTAAAGTTAAATGTCTATAAAACTGTATACACATTATTATGCCCTGAGTAACAGAAAGGAGTGTGTGTGTGTAGAATGAGAGAGAGGGAAGGGGTATCTTTTCATAATTCAAAATAACCTGTAGTTTCACTGTGTGTATTTCCTCCACCAAAACAGTTTATTGCCTTGGTATACGGTTTTCTTGAGTTTCTGTGGCTGAAAAATTCTGTTACCTGGTGACCAAGTCTCTATAAACTTAGCTAAGTTGGTCCTTGAACATCAGACATATTGGGCATTGCTGGGTTCATACCAAAAGGCTTTTCGTTTACTAAGACCTAGTAGACTTGTACTCTGTAGACTTTTAGAGCCCAACGTCATCTCCATGCCACAGCCTTTACTACATATAGCTATATGTGTGTGTTTGACAGATAATTCAAATAAGCCCTTATTAAGCAACTATTATATGTAAGTTCTGTTTGAGATTTACATAAGACTCTACCCTCTAGATATATACATCCATACTTACGTATATAAATACATGTAGATGCTAACCTTAGGGAGGCAGCATGGAAAGACCACTGGATGTAGAGCCAGAATATCTTGGTTCACATTTCAGCTCTGCTACTCAGTACCTATAAAACCTCAAGCAAGTCACTTAAACTCTCTGGACCTCACTTCCCTAATCTGGAAAATGAAATAATTATACTAAATTACCTTTGAGACCTCCTCACACATAAGAATGGTTATGGTCAACCCATGGAGCACTGGACCTGGAATCAGGAAGACCTGGGTTTAAATCCAGCCTCAGACATTTACTAGTTGTGTGACCTTGGTCAAATCACTTAACCTCTGTGCCTCAGATTCCTCATCTGTTAAACCCTACCTCTGAGGGTTGTTGTGAGGATAAAATGAGATATTTTTAAAGCAATTTGCAAACCTTAATGTGCTCTATACATGTTAACTATGATGATGACGTATTTCCCTTCTTTTATCAAAATTCTGATATGCCTGTATCTAACTATGAACTGTCATTCCATCTCTCTCTATGCCTCACCCCTCCTAACCCTTTGCCTTCACTGAGACCTTCAATCCTTCATCCTTCAATAACTTCTCAAGCCATTACACCTGCTCTGACTTCATTTTCCTCCCTTTTCAGAACTTATAGATGATCAATTCATTTCTACATTTTATTCTCAAATCCCTTGCTTCTTGTCATAGATGCTCAAATCTTGCCAAACCTCAGTTCTTGGATCACTCCCACCATCTACCCCTTAAACAGAGAGCTGGAGGAATTCACACAACCACAGTGACTGGGCACATTGTAAATTCTGACCAGCTTCAACTGGCCTTCACTGCATCATAGCAATCCTTTTACTCCTTTCTAATTGGTCCCTTATCCTACATTCCACAGAAGCTATTCCAAACCTCTCCTTATGCCTCCTACAGCTCTCCCTCCTTCCTCCTCTGTCAGCTGAAGACCTCGCCTCTTACTTTACTGAGAAAATTGAGGCCATTTGATGTGAGCTCCATCTTTGCCCATTCTCCTCATCTCAAAACTCCTTGGTATCATCCCACATCTCTGATGATGAAGTGGTTCTTCTCCTTGCCAAGGCCAGCTCCTATACTATCTCATTTTCTCTAACAGACTGAAAACTCAGTCATACCTTTTCTCCCATGAATCTTTAACTTCTCCCTATCTAGTTAGTAGTATCTTTCTTAACTACCTTCATACATAACCAAGCGTCCTCTATCTGTAAAAAACCTTCATTACAGCTTACCATCCTCAAACTATCACCCTACATCTCTTCTCTATTTCTTAGCCAAACTCCTAGAAAAAGATATCCATATTTACTGCCTCCACTTCCTCTCCTCTCACTCCTCAACCTTTTACAATTTGGCTTCCAGCTTCATCATTCAACTGAAACTGCTCTCTCCAAAGATACCAATGATCTCCTACTTGCCAGATCTGATGGTCTTTTCTCAGTTTCCATCCTTATCTATCTGTCTGCTGTATTTGAAATGGTTGACCACCAGACGAGAGCATCTTGAATACTCTCTCCTCTGGTTTTTTGTGGTTCTCCTCCTACCTGTCTACTCCTCCATCTGCTTTGCTGGTTTGACATCCGTATCACACTTCCTAACTGAGTGTTCCCAAAACTCTGTCCTAAGTCCCTTTCTCTTTTTCTTTTTTAATGGCCTCATTCACACCTAGAAATTAAACTATCATCTTTTTGCAGATTATTAAAAGATTTATATTCATCTCAATCTCTTCTAAGCTTCAACTTCATATCACAAATTGCCAATTGGACATTTCAAACTGGATGTTCCAGAGACCTCCCAAATCCAACATGTCTAAAACCAGAATTCTTTAAAACCTACCCCTCTTCTAAACTTCCCCATTTCTTCTGAAGTCACCACCATTCTTCCAATCTCCTAGGTTCTCAAAAGTAGTGTTCTCCTTGACTCCTCACTCTCCCTCACTCCACACAGTCAGTTGCCAAGTGTTGCCTTTTCTACCTTCACAGCATTTCTCTTATCTGACCCCTTTTCTCCTCTCACACAGTTGCCACTTTAGTTCATGCTCTCATCATCTCTCTCCTTGATTATTGCAATGCCCTCCTTATTGGCTTCTCTGCCTCCAGTCTCTCCCTGTTCCAATCCATCCTATATACTTGCTTAAGTGATTTTCCCTAAGTGCAAATATGTCATTCCCTTACTCAGTAAATTTCAGTTGCTTCCTGTTGTCTCTAGAATGAAAGATAAACTCTTCTGCTAAACTTTTAATACCTTTCACAACCTGTCCCCATCCTGTCTTTCCAGTTTCATTTATATTACTCCCCCTTCTGAATTCTGTGACTAGCAAACTGGCTGTCACTCTCTGTTCCTCACACATGATACTATCTCTTGTCTGCCTTTATCCTGATTATCTCCCCTTGCCTGAAATGATTTTTCACTCATTTCCACCTCACAAAATCACATTGTTCTCTGAAGACACAACTGAAACATCACATAAAGCGTTTCCCCAACTCTTAGTGCCCTCCCTCCCAAACTACCTTGTGTTTAACTTTTTATTTATTTCGTACATACTTATATTTGTATCTGTGGGCTGCTAGGTGGTGCAGTGGATAAAATGCTGGGCCTAGAGTCAGGAAGACTCATCTTCCTGAGTTCAAATCAGACTTCAGACATTTACTAGCTGTGTGACCCTGGGCAAGTCACTTAAGCTTGTTTACCTCAGTTTTCTCATCTGTAAGATGAGCTGGAGAAGAAAATGGCAACCCATTCTAGTATCTTTGCCAAGAAAGAAGAGTTGGACACGACTGAAATGACTAAACAACAAAATATTTGTATCTGTTTCCTCTATTAGAATGTAAGCTCCTTACAAGTATATATTATTTCATTCTTTGTATTTGCATCCCAGGTACACAGCACAATGTTTGACACAAAGTAGGCCTTAATAAAATATACTTATTGTTTGGTTCTAATAGCTTTTCAGATAGTTTTCAGAATCAGTAAGTCCACCGAATTTTTGCCACTTTACAAATCCCAACTAGTCCTTCTCACTTTCACCAGTGTCATAGCGATAATATATCCAATAGCTTGTGGTGAAATATTGCCTGAATCCTGTGTCATAATTTTTATTAAACTTTTGTTAACTACTGTACTACTTTTCTGCCTATATTACTTTTCACAGTTTACATGCAGTTGTGTATATGAACATAGTGTAATTAGTCTTATGTAAATAATAGAGGTGTGTTTCCGTAGACTCCTTGGTTTAGAAGAGATTCAGAGAGAACACCCAGGCCCTTTCACCCAGGCAATGCAGCATTTTAATGATCACAGGTACATTTCATGTATATATAGTTTTTTATTTTTGTTGACAAATATAATTTTCTTTCAGATGTTTTATTATTGGTAAAAAAACGAGCTCCTCCTCCTCCTCCAAAGATGACTGACGTCTCAGCTGAGGAAAAGGTTAGTTTCAGATAATAAATACTTGCTGATTAATTTCAAATCTTAGAGTCTGAGGATGTTTATAGTTTAAGATAAATTCTGTTGTTGTTAATACCATTATAGAGCAATAATCTGAATGATAAAACTATTTTCAGGTCCCAGCAGATTATCAATATGGTGTTTTGTTGTTATGGTTTCATAACTTTCTGTACTCCCTGATCTTGTCAACAAATTAATTTTTTCTTCCCTGGACACATAATAATCATGCTCTGAAACCTAATTGTGCCTTCTGTAAGAAAGGAGAGAGGGTAGGTGATCTCTGCTATCATTGAGCTCTTCTCAGTTGCTTCCTGCTACCAGTAAGCTAAAATTATCCATTATGCCCCTCTCTCCATACCTCAGATGTCTATGTCAGCCCTGATAGAAGAGCACAAATAATCTGGAAGAGCTCAACTATAGTGCCCTTCACCTGATTACTTCTCATATATTGATTAAAAAATCTAGCACAAAAAAGAGCCTACGTGAGGAAAGTGGTATTTCAGGATATTGTCTCTGTCCCCTACTTTGTTAAGACCTTATCTTTCCACTAATTGATTATGGAGTTATTAGACGTCAGTTTTCTTTCATCTTAAGTTGCAGAATAGAGGTGTGATTTTTATTAGTATGCTTTTTGTACAACCAAATTATCCTGTGACCAAAATTATAGAGCTTAGTATAATCATAGGTTTAGATCTGGAAGGGAGCTTAGAGGTCATCTAGTGCTTCCTCTTCATTTTACAGATGAGGCCCAATAAATGAAATGATTTGATTAAGGTAGTCTAAGCAGTAGGTGGCAGAGCCAGGATTCAAACCCAGGTTCTCTGACAATAAATTTAGTGCTCTTTTCACTCCACCTCCTTGTGAGACTAGAATCCCAGGTATTGTGACTCCAGCTCCAGAAATCTTGCCAGCCTTCTCCTTCCCTTTCCTGGGCCACCTATGAAACAACAAAGTAAAGTACTTTGGGTTTACTTTTCTTCTTTTTTTTCCTACTCAGCAAGCATGCTGGTTAGTGATGGAATGACTAAAAGAAAGAATCTATGACTTCCCTAAAGCCATCCTGAGTGGCAGAGGTGGTATTTGAATACAAGTCCTCTGAAAACAATCTAGTCTCTTTCTACTTCATCAGTGAGATTTGAACTGTAGTTTTCATATATTCACTTATTTTGATATCTAATGATAGATTTTCAGTGAAATATAAAATAAAACTGGATGCCAAAAAAAAAAAAAAACAAACCCCCAAAAAACAAGCTACTAATTCTCCAGGATTAGCTACAAAGCCTAAATTGCATAATAGTAAAATATAGTTTCATATTGCTGCGACACCAGAGTTTAGGCATGTGGCCATTCAGGAAGAGCTGTCTTAGAAGGTAAAAATCTTGATTCTCTCATAGTATGTTTATGTGTATTCATTTAACTTGTGTCTCTTGAAATAAAAATAATAATAATAACTTATTCTTCATGGCTTAAGGTTTGTAGAGAAAGCTTTGTAATGGATTAGAGAAAGTGGTCATCCCCTAGAGAAGTGGAAGGCCAAACTATTTTAAGACAGAATTGAGAGGGCTATGCTCATGTACTCAATACACTGAAAGAGTTATTTTAAGATATCAAGCTGCCTTACCATCTCCAGTTGGATCAAATTGTGAGGGGGTGGCTTTGGGCCACTGTGTGACCTCTTATCTTTAATTACACCTGGCCTCTAGCACACACATTGAATCAGCCAAACTATTGCCTTCTACATCTCTAGAACACACTCTCTCTTGATGAGAATTACTGAGGGGAAAAAGTCAGTTCTCAGGTTACATTTTTGAGCGTTCACTAAGCTGTCTTTCCTATTACTGCACACTTAAAGGCCCTATATCTAATATATACCAGGCAAATTTTCTGTTTTGTTACTATTTATCTGACTTTATTTAGCTCTATGTTGTTCAAGTTCTATTTGTTTTCAGCCTTCACCTTTAGCATATAGTCTTTAAGGAATCTCAATGAACTGGAAATACATAGGAAAGTAGAATTAAATTAGCTAGCATTTTCATCATGTGTTCATCTAGGGGTTGTACTGGGATCCACAATGTATGTTAAAAGGCCTTAGCTAAATCTTCTTAACTTTTTTGTGTAACGAACCTTTGTAACAGTCTGGACCCATTTTAAGAATAATATGTTTAAGTGAATAAAATAAAATACATAGGATTACAAAGGAAACCAATTATATTAAAATCTAGATATCAATTTTTTAAAGTTCAATGGCCTCAGGTTAAGAAGCCCTGACCTAAAGAGAGTTGACCTTTATATTCTTTAGCTATTTTATATATATAACCTTTGCAAGAACATGGATAGAAATTGCCCAAGATGAGGTTTAGGTGGGTTGTGAGTTGCATTTATGGAAGAAATATATGAGACCACAAATTCATTGAAGTATGTTTGACATTTTATGAAAGATGTAAAATTCTATGGCCCATCATAAAACTGTATAGTATTTATTTGTAGAAGGAAAAGGAGTATAAATCTATAAGGTTAAGAGAGGCATGGTGGTGTGGTAGAAAGAACACTGGAGTTGGACTCAAAAAACTGGTTTTCAGTCCCCACTGTACCACTCAGTAATTTTGTAACATTAGACAAGTGACATAGCCTCTCTTAGCATCATTTTTCTCACCTTACATACCTGCACTGTACTCCACAGGACTATTATGAGGTAATGTATAGAAAGCATTTTGCAACCTATAAAGGGCTATGTAAATATAAGGTAGTGTTACTATGTATAACTCTTCCCAAAATTAACATATCCACATCCCCAATTGCAGCTAATTAGAGCTCCAAGAATTATGCCGCCTAGTCAGACCTATGAGTTTACACGTTAAATTTTCACTTTCTCTCATTCCTTATTTCTAGTCACATTAATCAGTTTAAGACATCACATTTTTTCCATGTCCTAAATAATATGTTCCTGGTATGTTTTTGTGACTAAGCAGTGCAAAGAATTAATTTGAAAATTCTTATTTGGACCCATATGTCTTATAGAAAACTTAAGTTGTTGATGTGCCAGACAGTTTAATTGCTAAGCTTTGTCAGTTATTTATTAAATTTATTTATTTTCATTCCTTGATGGTTCTGTTTTTTGTTACTAAGTTTCTTAATTCTGTGTAGAAAAAGCAAGAACAAAAAGCTCCAGATAAAGATGCTATTCTCAAAGCAACAGCAAATATTCCTTCCCACAGTGTGGACAGGACTGTGGCCCATCACAGCATGAGAGATGTGAGTATTTGAAGATGTAACCTCATTTGACACATTTCTAAAATTCATCTAGTGAAAAAAATTTAAAGTCCAGATGATTTTGATTTAACAAGTGGAAAAAGGTTCTTTGAAAGTTGGATTAGAGAGTAAGATACTGAGTGAATATACTGACAGTTTCATAGAATTGTATAATCTTAGTGTTGGAAGAGACCTTAGAGGTCATCTCCTCCAATCTTTTACTATGCTAAGTGTGAATTCTGTTTCCACAACTCTATTTGGTAGGCTTCGAGGCTGTGCCTGGACTCTTCCAATGATGAGGAACTCACTTTTTACTTTTTAAACAACTCTTAATTGCTAGAAAGTTCTTTCTGATATTGCAGTAAAATTTGCTTTCCTTGAGCTTCCTATTATTGATGCTTATTTTGCTGGAACAGAAGAAATCCTACTTTTACGTGATAGCCCTTCATATAGCTGAAGACAATGATCATATTTTCTCTTAAGTCTTCTTTTCTGCAAGCTCAGTATCCCTAGTTCCTCAAATATTCCTCATATAAAATTATTTTGGTCCCTTGTTTATCTTGTTTACTTCTGAACATGCTCTAGTTTTCAATACTTAATTCAGTGCTTCAGGGATCAGTGAGTTCATCAATGTGAATAATCCTTCTACTGATACAGATTACTATCTTAGCTTAGTAGAGTACCATAGCTTAGTGTAGAGTCTTCATGAGTCTGTATGGCCCAACAAATGAATCACCTGATTGCCAACCTGTAATGATGAGCCCCTTTGAATTTCACTTATGTTGGTCCTCAGGTGGCAAGTAGGTATTGTCTGTCACTAAGCCATCCTTTTCAAAATTCTTTTTAAAATACGACATACGAAACAGAATGTGGTACTGTAGGTATTGTCTGATGAGGATAGGGAGTACAGTAGCAATATTTTCTCCCTTTTTCTGGACACTATAATTCTCCCTCGCATGTTATGAATGCTGCTTTTATACAGATTTTTTTCAAATAATTTAATTTTGAGTCATTTTATGGAGAAGATTTTGGTCCCCTAAGTTTCAAGTAATTTGAAGATGTTGGTTTCAAGTTAATTTGGATACCACCCAAACTAAGATATTGAATTTTATGCATAGAGACCGACTAGCAGCTACTTAGATTTTATCTTCTGTGTGTCTGACTAAGATTGGTAAGAACAGCCAGACCATATGGTGGTGATATGAGTCTGTCTTCCTCAAACACATTATAGAAAATACTTCTCTTGAGATTTGTCTAAATATTTCTTTGCTAATTAGGATATAATTGTTTCTAAAGAGGGCAGTGTGTATGTTTGCCTGCTTGATGTATTGTTAATGAATTATTCTGTTCCTTTGAACCTGATGATTCCGAGTTCTTTGTTGTCAAAGTTCATAAAACAGTAGAACTCTCTTGTTACATTGTTGGGGATAAAACTCATTTTATGGTCTGTGTCAGGGGTGGCCACATGTGACCTTGAGGCCGCAGGTTGCCTACTCCTGGTTTGTGTTGTTCTGGAGTTCTTTTGTATGTCAACCAGTCATTTATTAAGTGCCTACCATGTGCCAGGCACTATGCTATGTGCTAGGGATACAAAGAAAGGCAGTAGTTCTTGGTGGGGGGTGGGGTGGGATGAGGGGATGGGATTTTGGGGGAGAGTTGATATAATTTAGTCTCTGCTATATCAAAATCCCTGTAATAACCGTGTTATAATGGACTTCCTACTGTATTTCCAACAATTACTTCCTTCTAATTTAGAAAACCCCTTTGCTATAGCAGACTATATTCAGACAAGTCATTATTTTAGTATGACTGAAATTAGAAATCTGTATGTTTGTTCCGTCAAATTAAGGGAAGTCTGTTTTCTTCTATTAAATGAAGCAAAAGAGGAGATGTGCAGAATACTTAGCAACCAGTTAGCATAATGTTGTGTTTATTAAATGAAGCAAAGCTGAGTTTGTTCAATATATGTAGCAACCAGCTACCATCACTTTGTGCTTTTAGACTTGTATTATTATCCAGAAAGATTTGTGGGACACTAGAGACTCCAGACTATATTAGCATATGCTGATTTAAATAATAAGGATTTGATTACATTTGAACTACTCAACTAATTTCCCTGTCATTTCTGTTTCTTCCACCTTTCTTCCACCCCTATTCCTGCCCTGATAGATTTTGGCCTTTTTGATGTAAAATAGCAACATAATTTTGATGACTTGAAGCTGATAATTCAAATAAATTAAATAGCCTTTTTATACATGAAAGTCCTGATATAAAATAATGGTGCTATCAGCCTATTTCAGTTCTTTGGAGTCTTGTAGAAATAATTTACTTTTTTTCTTTTATTGCAGTTCCAGACAGAACTCAGGAAGATCTTGGTTTCACTTATAGAGGTTGCACAGAAATTGTTAGCACTGAACCCAGATGCAGTTGAATTATTTAAAAAGGCAAATGGTATGATCACATTCCAGATTTATTTTATGATACTATAACCTAATAAAAATGGTATATGTCCAATAATTGAATGAACATGTTATTTCCTCATGCTATTTTACCGGTTGATTGTGACCCATAGTCCTTAGTAGGTAAACTGGAAGAAAGAAGACTGCACTTTCTGTGTTTGTCTCTGGCTCTCTCTAGATATGTATTTATTCCTTACTTTGTCATTTATCATATGCTGCATTAATCAACAGTGTTGCATTAATCAACATCCTTGTGCCTTTCAGATATGTTCAAGTTACTTAGATGCCATCTTGTCTAAATCTAAAGTGTACTTAGGCAATATAAATTCCATCTCTGCTAACATTTTGTTACCTTAGATGGAATTTCCTATTTTACCCACAGTGTCACACTTTTTTTCTGTTTTGCTAATAGCAATGTTGGATGAGGATGATGATGACCGAGTAGATGAAGTGGCGTTAAGACAACTTACAGAAATGGGCTTCCCTGAGAACAGAGCTGTGAAAGCACTTCGTCTCAATCAGTATGTGTTTTTATAAATGTCAAAGAAAGCTTTTGTCCTCCCCTAATCCTTTCTCTCTTTCTACCATTTTAAGGGATAGATTTCAGTATATGGATTTTAAACTGTTTTGCACCACAAAAAATTCAAAGGAAAGCTCAGATATCTCAGTGTTGTAAATTGTGCATACCAATTTGTTTTATCTATACTCATAAGGCTTTTGTGAAGAGAAAGCAGTACCAAAACTTTAAAATTTTTTTTGGTAAAGATAGTTGAATTTAAGTTCAAAACAGTAGGAAAATTTTGACATCTATTATCTTATTTCCCCCATGTGTATGTGAGTGTTTGTGTGGGGTGTGTATGTGTAATAGCAACAACTCAAAATTATCTATCTTTGGTATTATTCTCAAGTCCTGTGTTTTGAAGTTAATTCTCTCTTCATGGGCACATTTAAAATAAAAGCAAATTACAAATCAAAGAATAGTCTATGGACTGTTTCTTCTTCTGTTGAACATAAATCTGTGTTGCATGCTCTCTCCTTTGATTACATGGTTATAACCATTGCTTCAGAATGTTTTTTTTTTTAATTTCTTTCATAATCTTCTCATTAAAAGAGATTTGTGCATTCTAGTGGCTAGACAGACACTTCAGCAAGTATCCTGGAAAACTAGGGCTTGTGACATTGCATCTCTAAATTCATTTCTAAATGCTTTTAAAATTGTAAATATAAGGATAGTTCCAGTTAACATTATTAGAGTTGTTAAAATAAAAAGTCCCTTCCAGGGATTTGAAAGAAAATAAAGAAATTCACTGAGACTTCAGCGATTAATTCACTGCTGTTTTAGAGAAACTTTTGTTATTTTACAGCATGTCAGTAACACAAGCCATGGAGTGGTTGATAGAACATGCAGAAGATCCAACTGTGGACACGCCTCTTCCAGGTCAGGCTTCATTAGAAGCTGCAGGTGCTTCTGCCTCCTCATCTCAAGCTTCTGGTGGATCTAATACAGAAGGGGAGGAAGTCAAGGATGAGCTAACAGAAATTTTCAAGAAGATCCGTAGGAAAAGAGAATTTCGGCCAGATCCACGAGTATGTTATATTTGATAGCCTCTAAATGAAAGTGTTATTTTATCTTGCTCCTCAGGATGTTGTTTACTTATATGCTTAAGGAAGAATGTTTGGCACTTGATAGTTAACCTAGGTTAGTTTCTGCTTTTGGGAGAAAGGAGTAATGTCCTATGAAATGATTTTTATGGGGGCAGCTAGGTGGCGCAGTGGATACAGCACCGGCCCTGAAGTCAGGAGGACCTGAGTTCAAATCTGGCCTCAGACCAGACACTTGACACTTACTAGCTGTGTGACCCTGGGCAAGTCACTTAACCCCAATTGCCTAAAAAAGAAAAAAAAAATGATTTTTATGGCCTAAGATCCAAATAGACCAGATTCCTTTAAATTTGAATTCCTATAATTTCTTTTTAGGCACCTGACATTTGAAGGCATAAAATAATGAATTGACACACAATTCTTATGCAATGATAAAAATGCCCTTTGGCCATGGCTACACTATGGATTTGTGTTTTCCTCTTCATATTCAGAACTGTAGACCAGCTGTTGTGTGTAGCTTTATGCCTTAGTGCTGTGTTATTTTATCAAATAGAATAATTGATTTGTTAGTAGAGGAGAAAGGAAATTATTAAAACTAATTTACCATCTTTTTGCTTGTGACAGTTACAGAGGCTGTAATCTTTGAGATTTGGCTTTACCCTTAATTATATTTTATTGAGCTAGCCTTACTTCACCTCTGTGCGTCATTTTGGCCTATCTAACTTAGCTGTTTTATTCTAGTTTTGTTACTGGGGCAGCTAGATGGCGCAGGAGATAGAAAGCTTGGTCTGGAGATCTGAATTGAAATTTGGCCTCAGATAGCTACTAGTTATGTGACCCTGGGAAAGTCACTTAACCTCTGTTGTTAGCCTCAGTTTTCTCATCTGTGAAATGGAGATAATAATAGCACCTACCTCCCAGGATTGTTGTGAGGATCAAATGAGATAATAATTGTTTAAGTGCTTAGCACAGTGCCTGGCACATAGTAATCACTATATAAATGCTAGCTATCTTCATCATCCTAATCATTATTAGGATTCTCAAATTGCTTAATATTATCAGTACACTTAATACTACATAACCTAAAGCTGCCTAAAAAGACTTTGTCTTTACATCACTCTGATAGGTATTTGAAATGCATTAAGTATTTTCTTCTTTAATAGTGATTTTAAAAATGTAAGATAGCTGAAAAATCTTTCCCTCCTTGATTAGTCTATCACAGTTATAACAAATGATAGTCATGTATTCCAGAATAGTGTAGTAGAAAATGTGTTACTAGAAAATGCACTAGTGTAAGATTAGTCTAGCTGTATTCCAAAATGTGCTAGTCCAGGAGTTTGAAAACCTTGGCTTCTCCAGTCCCAGCACTTCCACTAACTAACTATGATTTGGGACGAGTTACTTCACCTTCATGATGGATAAAGTTTTTATTAAGTGCTTACTGTGTTCCAGGCAACGTGCCTTACATTCCTCATTTTTAAAATGGAGGGATTGGATTAGATGTTCTCTTAATGCCCCTTCCATATCTAACATTCTTTGAGGGCCCTCCCAGCTCTAAATCTTAGTTTTAAATGGGCCTCTGTTTTTATTTAGCAAAGATCATTCTAAAATACAGATTCTTCATGATTTATAGTGAAATAGTTCTGGAAATATAGTGTGATCACACCTATGTGGCTGAAAAGTTTCTTCATTGATGTCTAATCTTGGCTGGAAAGGAACTTTTCTTTCTAATCTTTTCCTAGATTACTGAGTGAAGGAGACAGCATGGCACAGTGGCAGTAACACTGGACCATAACTCAGAAAACCTGAGTTCTAGCCCTGGCTCTATCTCTCTGTTTGACCTTAGACAAATTAATTCCTATCTTAGGGCCACAGCCACCTTATTTGTGTCTCTGTCTTTCTTTGTATCTCCACTTAACACAGTGCCTAGGACAAAAGTGCTTAATACATGCTTATTGACTACCTATCCAGCTATGATGAGTGAGTTGAATTAGATGATATCTGAAGTACTTTCTGGTTCTAACATTGAGGGTTCTATACTGACATTCCTATCTTCATTTAGTAAGATCATTATACATTATACCATCCTTTGCTTTAGTAATTATCAGATTGGATAGTCAGTACCCAATCCATACTGGAATAAAGGTATAAGGGAAAATAATTATATTATGGCAAATCCAGTGGTACTAAATTTTAAAAAAGCACCTTCTGCTTAAATACTGTTGAAGAAAAGTGGTTTAGTTCCATACTGGATGACTTGTTCATTGAATTTGCTGACTTGTTTTCAGTGAGCATGGCATTTAATGAGCTGTGGAATTCTCATTTAGGCTGTCATTGCTCTGATGGAGATGGGATTTGATGAAAAGGAAGTGGTAGATGCACTGAAAGTAAACAACAACCAGCAAAATGCAGCAGTGAGTACTACATAGTTGAAATATTTCCAGTTGAAATGGAGATTTTTGTTCACTTCATAGTCTTCGAAACCTAATTTGAAGAGTGTGGGTAACTTCTTTTCCCCTTGTTTAATAGTACTCCCCTGCATCCACTCTTTACCCTAACCAAACTATACTACTCCTGTTTTTCATTCTAATTCTCTCTTTTCCTGCTTCTATATATGTTATCCCTCATGCCTAGGATTAATTTTTCTCAGGATGATAATGCTTGGCCATTTATGACATGTCAGAAAGGATGAAGATTGGAAAAAAGCCATTAGGTTTGTCAAGAGATCATTGGTAACTTTGGAGAGAACAATTTCAGTTGAATGATGTGTTCAAAAGTCAGACTATAGAGAGTTAAGAGAGTGAGAGGAAAGAAAGTGGAGACATTGATTATAGACAGCCTTCATAAGGAGTTTAGCCACAAAAGGGAGAAGAGACATGGGATGATAACTGTTGGTGATGGCTGTGAGGATTTTGGGGGGATTGGGTAGACGTGGGCATGTTTGTGGACAGTAGGGAAACAAGCAGTAGACAAGGAGCGATAAGTGAGGGTAGAATTTCTCTAGTATGAGGGTAGGAGGAAAGGAGAGAGATCATGAGCTAGTCATTGAACTTATTGAGGAAGGAAAGGGAATGTCCTGGAGGTCAGTAGATAATAGCTACCAGAATTTTGATTGGGTGGTATGTATGCATTGAGTGAACCTTGAAAGAGGAGAGGCTACTGAGTGTTGGTTATAGAGGAAGAACCTGGATGTGGCAATGGAGAGCAAGATGTATTTTAACTCTCTCGCCTCAACAGTGAGTCCAGGGAGAAATGAGTGAAACTACAAAAAGTGCTGGAAAGGGAAGCCAGGGAGGTTATGGATTCAGGAAGGTGAGAACCAGAAGATAGAAGGAGTTGGAAAGGGGAAGATTTAAGATGTTAGTATATTTGTTACCCATGGAGCAGTCTTTGGAAGGAGTGGGAACCTTTAGAATTAGACATTGGAGGGGTTGGGTTGAAGGGAATGGGAATGAGAGATCAGAGGTTCAGAATCATTGGGATGGGAAGGGTATGACCAGGTGAGAGTTTGCTAATCATTGAGGGTTTCATTGTCCCTAGAAACTTGGCCTTAGGATGGAGTCCTTTCAGGGCTTTAGGCATCTCAGGGAGGGGACAAGTTCTGGGAGCTAAAGGAATGGTATTGTTCCCCTTCCTTAACCACAGAAGACCATGATAGAATTGTGTTTCTCCTCTCCCCTGGAAGGGAGGAGTCTGGTGCTTGATGAAATGGTGTTTCTCTTTTTCTCATGAAGACCAGGCAGGAAACCTGGTGAGATGGAGTGTTGTTTTCTCTCCTTACCCTAAAGGCAGGAGACTGGGGTGATGGAAAGGTTGTCGAAAAAGGGAGCATGTAGAAAGAGAAGAGAAGGACCCAGTACCAAACCTTGGGGAATAAAAACAGAGAGTGGGATATGGATGATAATCCAGCCAGGGACACTGAGCAGGAGTAGTTAGACAGGAGGAGAATAAAGAGAGGATAGTCATGGAAACCCAGAACAAGAGGTAGTTAATATTGTTAAATACTTCAGAGAAGTCAAGGAGGAGGAGAAAGGCTGTGGAATTTGGCAATGAAGAGATCATTGGTAACTGGAGAGAGAGCAGTTTTAGTTGAGTGGTGAGATTGGAAGTCACTGCAGGAGCTTTAGAAGTGAGTGAGAGAAGAGGAAATGGAGTTAGCTTTTTCGAGGAGTTTGACTGAGAAAGGGAAAAGAGTTCTCAGATAATAGCTTTAGGAAATAGAGTCAAATAAAGGTTGTTTTTTTTTGTAGGATAAGAAAGTTTATAGGCAGCGGGGAAGAATAGGGAGAGATTGAAGATTAGAGAGAGAGTAGGAGGATGAATTTGAGATCACTCTGCTGAAAGAATTGGGGGGGGGGATTGGGTCCCAGATACATATAGAAGAGTTGGGGTTGGTGAGGATATGTACCTCGTTATCAGAGACCAGAGTAAATAAAGGAAGAAAGAATGGAATGGTAATGTCAAGGGGTTTTGAGATGCAGAGAAGAGGGAATTCATAGAAAATAGCCTCTATTTTCTCAAGCTTAAGAGAACTTCTGGGGAGTGTTACAGAGGATCAGTTAGGGAGAAGTGAAGGATTGCCTTGCTACATTTAGTGCCTGGTTAGAATTAGAGAACGTAATTTTTTAGTGAACACCATGCTGTGACTTCCTTTCTCTAGCCTCATTTAGCGCTCGGATGGAAGCAGAAGAAGCAAGTGGATAGTGGAAATATCCTAGGGTTAGAGCTAGGCAACACATGAGCAGTAGTAGGACAGTGAGCAAGAGACTCGAGACTAAAGGACAGTGTAGTATTGAATTGGTCAACTATAGGATTAATACTGTGAAGGGAGAAAAGTAAGTCCAGAGCAGTGGTAATGTCCTGAGAGGTTACTGAGAGAGGAAGACACTGGAAGTGATGATGAGGACAAAGAATAGGTTTAGGAGAGGTAAAGCATGGGGAAGATCATGCTGTTGCCTTTATTTTACAAGTGGAGAAACCACAGTAGTTAAACTGAATGATAGTAGCAGAAGCAACCATGGGAGTCAGATTTATAATTCCTTTTCTTCCAGAGCCTAATTTTCAGGGTACATCACTTTCAATCTAGACTTGGTTTAATTTTTATTTTTTACTTTCAATTAGTAAACATCGAGAATTTTTAAAGAACTAAGAAAATATTCCTTTATTGGGAACATAAAGTAATTGTTTATATATGTGGTTTACACCTTATTTTTAAAAAATTATGTTTGTTGGAGAACTAATTCCAATGACTACTACTCCTGAATTTTTCAGTGTGAATGGCTGCTGGGAGACAGAAAACCCTCACCAGAAGATTTAGATAAGGGAATTGATCCAGATAGTCCTCTCTTTCAAGCCATCCTTGACAACCCAGTTGTGCAGTTAGGACTAACTAATCCTAAAACCTTGTTAGGTAAGTATTACAGCATTTTGCACACAGACAAATGGAATCTTGGCTATTCAAAAAGATCACTTTTTTAAAAAAATTGAGAATTGATTTTATACTTTTAGCTCTCATTAGGCATTACCTCTCCTGTCTGGCATCCTCCAGTTCTAACACTTTATATCATGGTTACTGTGGGCAAGTTGCTTAACCTTTTTAAGTCTCAGTTTTCTCATCAATAAAATAATCTAATAATGTGTACATTACCCTTTAGGATAAGGAAAACACTTTATAACATTTAAAGTACTGTAGAAATATGAGGAGTTGTAATTTCTTAGGCAGGCCAAGATCTTGTGATCTAGAATATGACTCTCTGAGGACTTAGACATTTAGATCTACTAGAGAGTTACATATTCTACAGGACAAAAAAAATCAACAACAAAAAACTGGCCTGAATCTTTCTAACACTTAAAATCTCTTGTGAATGAATTAATTAACCATATTCGTGGCAGTCTCTACATGTGTGGCAGCATATATTAACAATCTTAGCCATAAGGATTGAATTGAATTAAAAAATTAGGAGCAATGTATGGTTTATTTCACGGTCTGGAAAAAAAAAATACAAAAGGAAACACATACTTGATAAATTTCTATAGGAATGTACATAGAGTTAAAAGGCATTTGCAGCTTTTAGCATAGACTTTTATGTTGGATCTGTCAAGGCTGAAATAGTAACTATGAAAACAAGACTTTGACTTGTTTGGAGCTTTGCTTTGTGGTGCAGCTGTGTTTTCAGTCAAAAAGAAAGTTCCTCTGGGGACAGCTAGGTGGCGCAGTGGATAGAGTACTGGCCTTGGAGTTAGGAGGACCTAAGTTCAAATCCAGTCTCAGACCAGACACTTGACACTTACTAGCGTGTGACCCTGGGCAAGTCACTTAACCCCAATTGCCTCCCCCCCCAAAAAAAGTTCCTCTCCTGGAAAAAACCCATCTGTATTAAGCCTACATCAGAATAAAATGTGTATGTGGGGGCTAGGTGAGTCTACATGTACCAGTAACGGAATTTTGATAGAATTTAGCTTCTGGTTTACATGTCAGTTCTCAAGTTAATAATTTCCTTATTTTTAAAAAATTATGTTTGTTGGAGAACTAATTCCAATGACTACTACTCTTGAATTTATGATATTACTTGGAATTATTTTGGTACCAGCTCTTAAATATTTCCAACTGGATTTTTCAAAATAAAATTGTATTGATGTGTTTTGTTTCTATATTACTTACATTTTCCAATGTGTATCTCCTTTCTTCCTTTCCCAAAGTGCCATCCCCTCTAACAAAGAAGAAAAAAAATTTGCATAATTAACAGACACATTGGAAAAGTGTGACATTATGTGTAATGAACCACACCCATAGTTCTCCACTTATAAAGAAGTGGAGGAAGGAGAGTACTTTTTCATGTCTCTTCTTTGGAGCCAAACTTAGTCATCACAATTCCATAGTATTCAGTTTCTATTGTTTTATTATTGTTCTTTCCTTCTACATTCTTGTAGGCATTGTGTATAGTTTTCCTGCTTCTACTTACTTCACTTTGCATCAGTTTATATCTTCCTCTGATTATCTGTATTTGGCATATTTATTGCTTTTCACAGCACAGTAATACCCCATTACATTCATGTATCACAACTTGTCAAACTGAATTTTAACTGACTTTCAGAGTACTTTAAATAAACTGCCATGTTTTGAAGGATACAAAAACTCTTGTTGATGAAAACTTAGTGTTAAATGAAATTTTATTGGTCAAAAGAGCTTTCTAACACTTGCACATTTTAAATTATAGAAATTTGGTTTGGTATTATATTTAGCTCCATGTTCTGGATCAGGTGAATAGTATAGTTTCTTTTTTGAAAAAATGCCAAGTATTTTAATAATGAACACTCTTATAAAACTTTGTAAGTTGGTTAATTGTTACTAAATTTCTTATCAAGAGCTTAATGAAATTTTGCTCACTGAGTTTTGACATGGAAAATCAAAGAATTTGAATTACAAGTTATTACAGAATATTCAGTCTTTATTTATTTGGTAGGAACAAAATTTGATGATATATTTGAAGCCTATAATTTCAAATGTGGAGTATTTGGGGGAAAACATTTAATCACTTTCTTAGGTATGTGCAGATATTACATATTCTGGGTAGAGATTGTAAAAAGGAATTATTGTAATTCTTTTATGATACTGGTAGAAATAATAATTGCCTTATGGGCTAGCCATGCACTGTCAGATTTTTACTTTATTCCTGTGGAAGAAGACAAGATTTGATGTGGCATAAATCTTAATCCATACAATAACAAACTTAAATAATAGGATCCTGTATTAGTATGGGGTTGAGTTCCACTTGACCTAAGATTATTGAGTCACTTAACCTGAGATTATTAAGTGTTTGCTGAATCAAAAAGGCCTATACACTTGTATTAGGCTACTTTTGGAAAAAGTAAGAATAAACATCTTTCTTGCTATAATTTTCTCATATCTATTGATCCAAAGTGTCTAGTCAATACTTCTATGTTAGTTGACACTTATGTTATGACAAGCTGCCTATTAGACATATCAAACAGAAATTCCTATAGGCATCTCAAATTAATATGTCCAAAATCAGAACTTGTTATTTTCCCCCAAAACCTGTCCCAGATTCTTGAACTTCCCTATTTCTGTAGAGGGTACTGCCATCCTATTTTATATATATATATTTTTTTATTTTTAGGCAATTGGGATTAAGTGACTTGCCCAGGGCCACACAGCTAATAAGTGTCAAGTGTTTGGTCTGAGGCCAGATTTGAACTCAGGTCCTCCTGATTTTAGGGCCGGTGCTGTATCCACTGCACCACCTTGCTGCCCCCTTGGCACTGCCATCCTTCTGGTTGCTTAGGGTCATAGCCTCAGAGTCATCCTTAACTCCTCACTTTCACTTGCTACCTTTGCCACTTTTGTCAATTCTAACCCTGAGAATCTTTCACATTTATTTATCCCTTTTTTTCTATTCACACAGCCAGTTCCTTTGTTCAGCCCTTTTCACTTCTTGCCTAGACTATTACAATAACCTCCTAGAGGGTCTTCTTCCCTCCTCACCTTCCCCTCCAATTGATCAGCCACATAATTGCCAAAGCAATATTCCTAAAGCATAGGTTCTGACCAAATCACTCCCCTGCCTAGTAAACTCCAGCAGTTCCTTTATGATAAAATGTAAACTCCCTTGTTTATAATTTAAAGTCCTTGACTCCAGCCAACCTTTGCAGACTTACCACATATCTTTCCTCATCACACACCTTTTGTCCCAGCCAAACTAGCCTTATTGCTATTCTGCATGTGATGTTTTATTTCCCCATTCCATGTCTTTCCACTCCCTTATCACCATAGGAAAATAGAACCTCTAGTTTTCTTTCAGAACTCACCTCAAAGTTATGAGGCCTTTCCTGATTCCACCACCTACTAATAACTCTCCTCTCTCCAACCCCTAAAATTGATTAAAAATATTTTAAAAATTATTTTTTTTTTATATCAGAGACACCATGGCATATTGCTGGAAGTCAGGAAGACCTGATTTCCTCTTACCTCTGCCATATACTGACTGTGAACCTAGACAATTCACTTAACCTCCATTATCCTGTGAGCTTCTTGAGAGCAAGGACAGTCTTTTGCCTTTTTTTGTCTTTCCATCACTTAGCACAGTGGCTAGTACATAGTAGATGCTTAATAAATGCTCATTGACTGACTTAACTTCTCAGTGCTATAGGGAACTCTTTAGGAATATAAGTTGCGGAGAATATCCTCACCAACATTGGCAAAGGAAGTTTCCTCACTATAAAATTCCCCATCACCAATGAAATCACAGATCTGATTCCCATTTCCATTCCTTATTTCCCATTCCATATTCTTACATATGTTCTTTTCCCTGATGAAATGTCAGTTACTTGAAGGTGAAGGTTTTCATTTCTGTCTTTGTATCCCCAGCTCAAAACACAGTACTTGGTGTATAGTAAACATTTACTGTTCTTTGATTGATCTGTGTATGTTCTCTTTATATTTAAGGATGTCCCCTTTATATTTAGAAAGTAGTTTTTTAAAAAACGCAAGCACTACATAATTACTAATATTTACTAAAGACATCATGAAGTGAATATTGTTCTTCCTTTTTCCACAGCATTTGAAGATATGCTTGAAAACCCATTAAATAGCACCCAATGGATGAATGACCCTGAGACAGGACCTGTTATGCTACAGATCTCCAGGATCTTTCAGACGCTGAACCGCACCTAGGGGGATGGACACCCCTCTATTCTGCTGCTTCCGCTGCCCACAGCTTCAGGTTCCTCAGAGAAGAAGGAGCTGAGGATTTGGGGGGAGGGGAAGAAAAGTAGCTTTTGGTATTTGGCTAGAGGTCCTCTCAGTTATACTTCTTAAACAAGAAAGAGTGTAGCTTAGGGCCAGCTGGAAATGTAGTTGCCTTATGGATTTGTTGGTAGTGGAAGAAAGGTTTGCATTCAGTTAGATTGAATAAAAAAATCCGTATCTCAAAAAATACTCATGCAAGCAACTTACATGGGATTGTTTGAGATAATAATGACTGCTCTGGTTTTATACCTTATTGCTTTAAAAAAAGAATTCGTGAGGGTAGTTTAGAAGTCAGTATTTTTACCATCTGACTGATGTTTACAAAAAGTGACTGACCACTTCAGTGAAGAATTAAATGATATACTCATCTCTAAAGAGTATTAAGTTATGATTATTAAAATGAAATGCTATTTGAATTGACCCTTAGAGTTTGATTTTAAAATCTAGATGTTATTTGAGAGAGCATGTTTCAATCCAAACTGTTAACGTCAGACATACTAATTTAAGTAGATTAATTCATAGGTTAAATTTCTTTAATAAATAGTTTTCTTTTTTCCTATTTTCTGTGTTAGTGTTGTTCTAGTACCCAAAGAAAAATTGTTACATTACTTTAAGCAATTCACATCTCACTATGTTAAAGATGCAGTATTTTTTTCTCTAACAGTTCATTTTGCCACACCAATATTTTCAATATCTACAGGGGTAGATTTCATTAATATGCAGACACATTTTGATGGTAAAAAGGCTGTTTTCTTTTAATTTAATGAGTTTAAAAATCATTAGAACACAATTTCCCCACATCCCCCCCTAGGAAAAGCAAGTTGTGTTACAGGCATTAAGCTAATAACTTTTCTGCCTCTTTGCCCTCTTTTTAAATTAAAAAAAAAATATTCTGTTCATTATAATTGCCAGAAGTAGTTGTCTTCTGAGAATGTTTTGGTTACTAACATTCTCTTGAAGGCAGCCAAATAACATCTGCCTTAATGCACTAACATATTTGCCTTGATTATTGGCTCCTAAATATTATCTGGCATTAGTTGGCTTACACATTGTGCAGTTACCGTTCTTCCATAAATAGTCAATGAATATAGAAGTCTTGTAGCTGAGAGCTTAGCTAGATGACAGTTCTAGTTAACCAGTCTGTAGAAAAGCATTTTTATCTCACTGACCAGGTATCTTCATGGTTTTAGATTTAAAACTTCAGGTCAGCAATATCAAGAATTATTTTTGCAGCTCTTTTAGGCATTTTCTGGTTCCCGTATTTGTTTGGAAAAAAAGATCTGTGTAAGACACTCCTGAACATATGTGTGAAGTGTTGCAAACGTATCTGTTCTCTAATAGTTTGTTCTTATTTTTCCACCATGCTTTCACTTAAAAGTGATCCCTTGGGAGTTTGGGCTTTTTTTTTTTTTTAACTCAAAGTCCTTAATACATTTATTTTTAACTTGAAAATCTGTGGAATAAATGATTTTCATTTCTTTCTTCTTCCTTGATAGAGAGTAATATTCCTCCGGTACTTCTCCCCCTCAAAAGAGTAAGTTTACAAGTCAGTATTTTTAGCATCTGACCAATTTGCAAAGAGTGACTGACCATCTAAGTGAGGAATTTAATGATATATTCATCTCTGAAGAGTAATCACTTCCCTCTCCCCCTTCAAAAAAAATGATGGGGGTAGGGAGAATGCTATACTTCTAAAATGATTAGTGATAATTTACAAAGTACTAACACATTACCTGTTTGACTCTATATAATATTTATGAAAGAGCAAAATATCTTAAATATACAAAATCCATGTTACAATGTAAAGTTTGGCTTTTAGTACAATAGGAATTTTTCATTTGTACTACAAAATGATTCTTTGTATAAAATTTATCCAAATAGTACACAATAACCCTTATTAAAGTAACGTCTCCCAGGTTGTGAAAATTTCCTGAGTTTATTGTTCCTTCTGTATACAGATTTTTAAGACCCCTGATTAAGAAAATTAACTAGTTTCATAAGCCTATTCTAGACTCAATTTGCTTCCATAAACTGAAATTACACGTGAAAAGAAAGCTGTTTTATAGCCAAAGAAGTACTGCATCTTTAAAATATCCCCAAACTGAGCAAATGTTTTTGTGTGTGTGTGTATATATATATTTTTTTTGCTGAAACTTAATTCAAGTTGTTTTAGAATGTTGATCTTTTAAATATTTGATAGGGAAAAACTAAAAGGTGGTTGCTTTGATGTGTCTCTTCAAAAGGGCAAATTACTATTTGGGCTGTATAGCTTCTGAAGATCATTACTTGTCTTGGTAGAGCTAATTGCTTCCAGTTGCTGGAAAATTAACAGTATTCTAGGTATATATAGTCCTTTGCCGAAGGCTCGATGTGAATGAGGACTTTATGTAGATTCAAACCAAATTATCAGACAATGCCACATAAGAAGCTAGTAAAATCAAACCATTAGTATACATACCTGTTTAGTATGCAGTCAGGGTCAAGGGTGTGTCTGTCAGGTGGCCAATTCAGCAGATTTTAGAGAGGAACCATGGAAATTGGCATCCAGACAATGGTTACCTTTTATGCTCATTCCACTGTGTTTGGAATATTGGTAATTCCATACGTTACTGATGGCGAATTTTTAAAATTCTCATACTAAAATTTTGGGTTGGGATTTGACAGACATAGGAAGAGGTTTCCAGTGGGGGACCTTGTAGGCAGGAAGAATATTGTTAAGTGCACTGTCAAAATTGATATTCTCTGTCCATGGAAAAGGATGGAATAATTATGTTTACAACTTCAGAGTTCAGCCTAGCATACATGGCAATATTAACATGCAGCTTACTGAATGAAGAGTTAAAGCCACTGCGACCACATGTCTGTGCATCATTCAAGCCAGACCTAGGGTGGGAATATGCACTATTTGATCTTAAAGAGAAGAGAAGATACAGAAAAAGAAAGGAAGACTAAGAAAATAGCTAATGAATCTTCAACAGTATTGATTCTTTTTGAATTGTTCTTATACCTGTTCTCCACCATCCCATTGGTTGACATAGACAATCTTTACCTTTTGATATTTACATGTGATTATGGAAAGGTATTTATTTATTTAATATATATATATATATAATTTATAATTTTGTCAGATCACAAAGCTTTGATATTTTTAATAGAAGTGTTCTATATGAAAGTTTGTTCTCAGGGCTTCATATTTATACTAACTTTGTAGGGAATGCAATATAGTTTGAAAAGCCAGTAATTATTTTACTACTGAAGCATTGGTTACTTGGTTTTAACTTGTCAGACAACCTCAATAGAGGCAGGTCCGGTGAGAGTTCCTTTCTTGTTGATTGGTATCTTCTAATGAAAGAATCCACAGGATTTGGTGTAAAAACTATGAATGTAAGCAAAAATAAGATGACTTATGGTGTGGGTCTAAATTTTAGAATTTATATGTACTTTGGGAGAAATGTTTGTAGTCTTGATAAGGTCTGTACACCATTAGATGAGATCTTTGATGCCTGAGTTGGGGAGTACCAAGTAGTACATGGTATCCACCAAATTATGGTACTAAAAACCACCATAGCAATGGACTATTCCCATATCTCACCTCTGGAGGACACAGCAGGAAGTGTGTTTGTTTGTTTCTTTTTTCAAAGTTATATTCTCAGGCAGTTCTAGTTGTGATGTCTTGATATTATTACTGGAGCTAGAGAAGACATGCAGACCACCTCACCCACCCATGTCTAATACCCCTTTCCTTGTAGTTGTTACAGTCTTTTGGGTTAAAACTTTCTCCTCATTGACTTCCAAGGTTAAATCTGAAAAGATAATGCCTTATCTTCTGAAGAACTGATTCAGTTGCCTAAAAGTGACTGGGCTATTTAAATTCTATTTTAAAAAATAAACCTTTTGAGAATATTGATGGGATCAAGGACTAGTCCCAGATGTCCTCTCTAACTGAACTGTAGGCTTCTCCAATAGTGGTTTTTACTGGAGTAGCTGTCTTGCTCCAGTGACTCTTGGCTCTATTATTGAGTGCTTACAAGATTGGTAAAATTCTCACCAGTCTGAAATTTTACTCCCTCCACCCCCCTTTTTTGTACAATCAAGCCTGTGCTTGCTACACAAAATGGTAATAGTTTGTTGCCTATGAGCATTTTTCATCAGAGATTATTAATTTACTCTGGAAATTCAGGTTATCCAGTGTGCATTTCCTTTGCTGAAATTTGTTCTATTAGTATCCCAGTCTTAACTAATAACAGAAGGTTATAGTTGTAATTGGGATGTTATATTTACCTCTTTAACAGTTTCCCAACCCTAGAATCTAAACACTTACATACCAATCCCTGGCTGAAACTTAAGGAAGGATTTTTGATAAATGTAAATGCATTAAATTCAACTTGAATTTTGTTATTGTTTTTGTACCATTGTGGTGTTCAGAGGTTTTGGGGGAGAACAATGTATAAACATCTACCAAATGAAATGTTAACAGCTGCTGGTGATGCCTGTATATTATTTTTTAAAGATGACTCTGAATATTTTGCTGGTTTAATAAAACATCAGAATGTGATTTGCAGTGACTAAAAGGTAGCTCTAGTGCTGCATTTTCATTTCACCTGGTTATAAAAATAATTGCATAGGTTTGGTACGCCATACTTTTTATATGAAAGTGATAGTGTGGCATGCACACTTGTTTTAAGATTTAATGTTACTCTGGAGCAGCTTAAGTTAGGTGGGTATAGCAAAAACTCTAGAATTCAGAGTTCATTCGACAGATATGGTGCTAGGAGCATGATTTAGTTATACAGCCAGTATTAATGATAAATATTTGAATTAATTTGGTGTGTGTATTTTTTAATACCACTGGCCTCCAGAAAGCAAATATTAATAATCCACTGAGCTGAGTTTTAACAAAGTCAGATTTCAGCTATTTAAGGAAATTTTCTAGGTAACACATGTTCATACGATAGATTGTTCCAACCTTGGTAGTAGTCATAAACTATGTTAACACAGTTTGCTAGGGGACTAGAATGATTACTGAGTCTTAATTCTCCTGCCCCTTCTACCACCCCCCCCCCCACACACTGACTGACAGTGTGTTGATAGGTGTCGTGTAAATTTTTAACATATTAAAATAAAAGTTTTTTGATTATATAAGCTGCTAGTAATTTTTTTGCAGGAGATGTTACTTTTAAAAGTCCTTATTTTAATAATCTTTGATCTCTCTTGACTAAAATGTAGTGTTTGTCTGTACAAATTGGAAAGTCATTAAGTCGACCTTTTCTTTTTGTGCAAGTGTTATTAAAGAGATGTAGAATAGGACATGATCTGAGAATACTGAATCTTTTATACACTTAGGAAATGAAATGAATTATCAAAAATTAATCTTTTTTACCAGATAGTTCCCTTTCTCATAGTACAACCTATTTGGTGTTGTAGATGAGTATTCCTTTTAAAGCAAAAACTTCAGAGAATTATAGCTGTTTTGAAGAATATCATAAAATATTTAGTGAACAGTGACAAGGAGGCACTGTGCTCTGTGAGATGCTATCATAATGTATGTGTGAATCTAAGGTCTTAAATAGCTAGGAGGTATAATACTGTTAAAGATAAGCTGATGGGAAGAAAATGACACAAAATAACTTCATAAACTACATAAATAGTTTGATTTCAGTGAGATGGTATCAGATGATAGGTACATCTGGGTTGATCAGAAAACCTGCTTGGAAGCAGTGGGTTTTTGTTTTGTTTTTGATGAATCATGGAGGAGAGGTATAAACTAATGAAGAGGGTTAATACAGGTGTGGAGGAATAGTAAAGGGGAAATAGTCTTATGTGTAGTTTTGTTTATGTAGGATAAAGTGAGAGAATGGAATGGAAGTTGTAATGGGACCTGGTACCCACAAATACTACATTTTAGCCCAGTTAGACAATGGGGAGTTGCCAGAGTTATTTGGTGTGGATGATTGATGCCCATGGCTATTGCACATAGATTGAATGAACTGAGTGAATTTGGAAATAGTGAGGTTGTAGCCTGGAAATGGGTCTGGTATACTCGTACTTGTCTTATCTTGCTTTTAAAAGTTCTCTGTCTTAGGGTGAGGCCTCGATGTTATGTGATGAATAAACTAGGATTGCTGAAGGCAAAGTTGTGAAGCCGGCCAAGTTAGTTTTTGTGCCCTAATGCTGACCCAGGCCTGCCTTCCTGGAAAAATGCCCAGAGTTTCAATTTTCATCCACCCTCTCCACTTTCAAAACTTTTTCTTTGCTACTAGTTGCCTTGAGAATTTTTCTGAGTGTTTTTAATTCACATAAGGTGATAATGATAGATAAAAGCATATCCCTAGGGAAGAATGCTTTAACCCAAACAAACACTACTCTAATGGTTGAATTTCAAGAATTGCTATGGGCCCACAAGGGAGATTTTTGGGCCAGGTAGATAGCTTCCTAGTGCTTTTCATATCACAACAAATAGATGGCTGCTTCCTCAGCCTCAACCTAAAACTAGCCCTAGGGATAAACCTCAACCTAAAACTAGCCCTAGGGATGAGTCTCAACCTCTGTATGTGACTGCTCTGTTGAAATTTGCTTTTGAATGAAAGCACTGCAGGGTGTAGTCAGCCTAGCCAAAAGATTCCTAATATGTTACTGTGCAGTGCTGGGCAGAGCCTGGTATTAGAATAAACGAATGGCTTCCCATACCCATAGCCTATTTTGAAAGTGCTGATATATAGAATCAGTGGAAAGGGCTGGATGTTCATTGTAGAGTTAATGAGATTGGGCCTTTTTTTTTTTTTCAGCCAGAAGTTATGGTGAGACAGTTCCTAACCTTTTGTCTCATGTCTAGTTGCCTCTAGGAGAGGTGTGTTAGAGCAGGGGTGGGGAACATGCGGCCTCAAGGCCACATGTGGCCCTCTAGGTCTTGAAGTGCAGTCCTTTGACTGTATCCAAACTTCAAGTTAAAAGGTTGCATTTGAGGACTCGAGGCCACAGGTTCCCCACCCTTGGGTTAGAGAGATTTGGCCTTTGTTAGATTTTCACAGAACTAACTGACTCTACAGGATATGGGATTTGGAAACAATTTAGTTTCTTAGGATTGTTGCTGCCAGAAACTCACTTTCCCCCAGAGGAGATGGTGAGTGGGGTCAACATGGATAAATGAAGTTTGGAGTTGGGAGGTCTGCAGTGGTGACTAAATCTTCTGTTCTTCAAACTCTGGGTAAGTTGCCACTAGAAAGATTCATTCCACAAACATTAAATACCTATTGTATGTAGAGCACCATACTAAGCCCTGGGGAGATAGGATCCTTGCACTTGTAGGATTTAAAGTTTGGTGGAGAGATGAAACACCAGCACAGATACCATGTAATATTATGTATCAGAGACTTACAACAGAATACATAATGTGAAATTCAAGAAGGGGAGATTATTGCTTTTTTAAAAAATTTTTTTCAATTAGTAAAAATTTATTTTCCCTTCCTACCTCCTTCTTCCCCACTGAAAAACAAAAACAAAATTCCTATAACAAATAATATACAATCAAGCAAATTCCCACATTGGTCATATCTAAAAATACATACCTATGTATATGTATACATGTAAGGGGTGTGTGTGTGTGTGTGTGTGTGTGTGTGTGTGTGTGTGTGTGTGTGTAGTGAGAGAGAGCATTCTATACCATGAGCCTATCACTTCTGTCAGGAAGTCATAGCATATTTCATCATACGTTGCCTGGGAGGGGAGGAGGAGATCATTATTGATTGAGGATCAGAGAAAGGCTTCATGGAGGAGTTGGCTTTATGGACACTGACAAATTGTGCTGTAAAATATGGAAAGGTATTTAATAACCAAAGAGGAAAAGGAAGATATTCCTGGCAAAGAGATCAGACTGAACAAAGGAGTGAGGCAGAAGGTCATAACATTTAACGGTCAGAGAATAATGAACAGGTTGTCAGAAGGGCAGAAGTTCTGTAAAGGAGGAACATGAGATAAAGCTGGAGAGTTGCAAAATGTATCTCTGTGTGTGTGTGTGTGTGTGTGTGTGTGTGTGTGTGTGTATGAGTGTGTATTGGAAAGAGGTGTTAAATCTTGAAAGTATTCAATCACCTGGCAATACTTTAGGCTATACAGCTAGATGCCTGTCAGTGACATTAGCCATTTTAAAGGCTCCAGCTCTTAGGTAGGATCACAGATTAAGAACTGAAATGACAGTTAAGAGATCATCTCATAGTCCAGAGGGTCTTGACCTTTTTTTGTTCCATGGTCCCCTTTGGCAGTCTGGTGAAAGGAAAAAAAAAAATTCACTCACCTCAGATTAAGAATTTTAGTCCAAGCAAAACCACTGATGGAAAATGAAGAGTTTACCTGGAAGTTCTGAGCTCTCTGTAAAAGAAGGTTTTGGGAGCAGTTGATTGTTCAGCACTCCAGCCCTTCATTCAGAGGAAAAAGAGAACTGAGGGAGCTGAGAAGGTGTTGAATACCAGGAGCTGATATTACAGTGGTCTAACAACAGTCATTTTACAGATGAAGACAGTTTCAGAGAGATGGCTGTTATGATTCAAACCCAGGTCCTCCACTGTACAATGCCTAAATTCTAAAGGTATTTTTAGAAGTGAGATCTCCCAAAGAGGTTGTGTATTCAAAAATCCAAGTTTTAAAAGTATTTAAGGGGGCAGCTAGCTACGTGTTGCAGTAGATAGAGTTCCGGCCTTGGAGTCAGGAGGACCTGAGTTCAAATGCAGCCTCAGACACTTCACACTCACTAGCTGTGTGACGCTGGGCAAGTCACTTAACTCCAATTGCCTCACCAAAAAAAAAAAAAAAAGCGAAAAAAGAAAGAAAAGTATGTAAGTTCAGGGGAAGAAATGGTTTCATTTTTGTATCCTTGGCACACAGTACTTTGTATCCCTGGTAGATGGTTGATCACAGTATAATGGATTTCAAACTGGAAGGGAGCTTACGAATCAAGTCCTACCTCTCATTTTTATAGATAAAGAAACTGAGCCTTGGGGAATTAAGGGACTTGATCAGTAGCAAGAGAGAGGATTCAAACGATGATCCTCTTAATTTTCTGCTATAGCACAATGATAATTAGGTTATTAGGTGAGGTCATCACTCTAATTCTTTAATATTTTCCTTGATGCCCAACCAGCAATAGGATGCAATATAAAACATACTGGATTAGAAATCGTGAAACCTTGGCCTAGACCTCACTTTGTCACTAACTAGTTTTGTGGTGCTGAGCCTCAGTTTTCTCAGTTTTGTGACAGGATTAGACTAGATGATCTGAAGTACCTTTTAGCACTGAATCTAGGATTCAAGGTCTATCAGTCTTTATAGAGCATGAAGCTCATGGAGCATGTTTAAAAACCAGTTTTTGCTCTTCTTACAAATGATAATTACCAAGTTGTAAAAAGTCTGAGCGTTAGCTATGAAATTGGATAAGTTGGTCAGTCAACAAGCATTTATTAAGTGTTTATAGATGTCAGGCACTGAGGATTCAAAAAAGAGCAAAAGCAGTTATGGCCCTCAAGGAGCTCATATTTTAATGATAGAGACAAACATAATAATAAGGTACATACCACACACATATGTGTATATATACATACATATATATATACATACATATATACACAGGGTAGAAAAAAAGTAATCTGAGAGGGGAAGGACTAGCAGGGAGGGGTGAGGGGGTACTGTATTGGGAAAGCTCTTCTGTAGAAGGTGAAATTTGAGCTAATTCTTGAAATAAGCCAAGGAAACTAAGAGCCAGGCAAGGAAGGAGAACATTCTAACCAGTGCAAATTCTCAGAGCTGGGAGATGGGAATGTTAAATGTGATAAATAGCAAGTATGCCACTGTCACTGTTGCTGGATTGTTGAGTGCATGGAAGAAAGTAGTGTTAAGTGTAAGAAACCTGGAAATGTAGGAAGGGGTTAATTACAAAGAGCTTTAAATGCCAAACAGGATGTTATATTTGATCATGGGGGGAATAGGGAGCCCTTTTCAGGGCTGCTCATTCACCTTTGGTGTCCATCTTCACCCAACTCTCACTTGTGACCCCAAGAATCTGTTGCGTTAGCACTAGCCACACCCTGGTAAACTATGTTGAT